TTATCTGTTTCACCCGTTTTTGGTAGGAGAGATATATACCTTCAGTGATCAATACTGGAATTTCATTGGGATTATTAATTAGCATTGATAAAATTTGTGCAAGAGTTTTATGGATTGCTGACAGGTAATAGAGCCAAAAGTTGTGTGCCTGTCATTTCCTGGAGATTTCCATCTTTGGCATTTTGCTAGAGCTTGCCTGACATTATTCTTGATTATATTCTTCCATTCTTACACATTCATTCTTTCTTACTTTTCTTCATATTCTTTCCTTTGATTTTCTTTGAATACATATTTTCTTCCGGGTCTTAATGAGAGACCTAACGTCAGAAATAGCTTCATGGCATTTTCCATTGATCATTTTTATAAAAAAGAAAATCTTAAGATCACACACATTTTACACAGATAAATCTCTTCCTAATGCGTGAGCTGTACTTGTGAGTATATTTTTTGTATTTTTTAAGGCATCGGCTACCAGGCATTCATTCATTGAGTTTCTCGGAACATTTTCCAGTCAATCCGAGTGCTCCAACTACAAGTAGAATTACTGATGTCTTCATGTGCCACAGTTATTATTACTTTCTGTAGCTTTCTGTTTCGTATAATCCCCTACCAAGTTATTAGCAGAGACTTAATGTAAGACAACTTAGTAAATATGTACATTCTGTTCGCATAAAAGAGAGAGATGTTAAGTGATACTTTCACGTATAGTGCTTATCTTTTTTTTACATAATACCCACCTAGGTAGATGATCAGTTCGAAAACAGTGCAATTACTTTAATCTCTTGTAGATCGAGGCTGCTAGGGATTCTGTTATTTTGCTTGTCTATACGTGTTTTAATCGTAATCAGAACTTCAATCATTATAGATGTAGCACAAGGCCAAAATTATGGGACATCCTATGAGAATCAAACTCGCTACTCAGTTGTAATGGGCACATAGCCGATTGGTTAGAACGTTCGCATTCTGATAATAAGACCCTGGTTCGAATCTCACCATGGTCGATTTGTAAGGGAGGAGACTTCCTAATGTTATCGGTCTGAATGGGGTCGATCCCTGCGTGCGGCAACAATACCACGAGTTGACCCAAGTCTTGTGAGTGAAATTGGGTAGATGGAACCTTTGGGTGTCGTCGATAGCTGTGCTAGAACGAAGTCATAAGTCATCGAGGGATTGAGCATGCTGGCCTTGTTCAAATTGTTGATAACACGCTCTTTCACAGAAACTGTAACTAAGGTTTTCTCAGTATAGTTACAGTATGAACCAGTTGGGCTTTGTGGGTGTTGAATAAATACAAATACGTCTGAGCATGCGTCTGTAATAGGGATTGGCTAGCCGCCCTAGTAGACAGGTATCCTCGAATAGGAGTGGCTAGCTATACTCAGTTGTAATTCATCCAGACAAGCTTGCTAAACAATACTCCACGTTGAAGTACCCCAATAACTTACCCATATGACGCGGTATAAGTAACAATATGGCGACGGCGGAAAAAAAGAAGTTCAACCCTGGAAATTCATTCGTGTTCTCTGTGCTATCAAAAAAAGAAAAATCGTAAGCAAGATCGGGTTGATTTTAGTAGTCCTCGAAATATGGAAATTCTTTTCGCTTTCCTACAAGTCTCTAACAACCACAACCTTTCTTACACTACTTGAGACGAGAAGATTTTCTTGGTTCTTCGTGGGTCAAGACAATGGTTTTGAGTTGTGAGTTTTGGATACGGATTTTGAACCTTCTTTTGATTTACATCCCAGATATTTTTTCTTCTTCATTTCCCGTGTCCCCTCAGGGCGTAGGCGATCATGGCTCTCCACAATTTCAGTCCTTTGTAGTTCTTAATAAATCGTGTCCTTTTGTTATTTCTCCCAAACTTTGTACCGCCATCCATTTAATCCATCTCACTAAGTATGTTATACATTGTTTCTCTCTGTCCCACTTGCCCTCAAATTATCCTGTGAGTGTCAGATTTTCCAAGCCCTCTTTCTTCATTATGTATCCTAGAAATTTCAACTGACTCTTCCTGGTGTTACTCATAAGTTTTCATTTTTGTTTCCATTTTCTCTAGAATGTCGTCGTTGTTCACATATCCTTCTGTAGAACTACATTTCTGATGACCTTTGAAATTATGACCCCGGATTTTTTTGATTTTTTAACAGAACCACCCAATCCTAAGCAATAAGCATCTTTTAGTAATAGCGAGAATTCACGTATTATTGTACGTTTGTGTCCATCGCCTACAGACACATCGCTTGAAACACCGGTTTCTGTAAGATGATCGATGTTAAGCAACGTCGAGCCTGGTCAGTACCTAAATGAGAAACCGCTTGAGAATACCAGGTGCTGTAAGATAGGGTCTGCGGGTGAATAACGACACTCAATTTGTTAATCGGAGAGTTCCAATTCCAGTCGTGTTCGTTATATTCACACGCGCAAATACTCTTCGGAGAGGTAGGAATCCACCTCTTCTTCCCCCAGCTATAGGTTAATTAGTAGAACTTGTAACACTAAACCATTATTAACTCAAAAACAATTTTGATCAGCCGTAGAAAACGAATCAATCATCCAATCGCCGCCATCATCATCGCCATTGTTGACAACGACTAGAAAATGTCAAGCATTGCAATAATGAAAACGGTTCTTTTTTTTTCTGGGCGCTTGTCTCTACAGCGTCTATTAAATTCCAGAATGGAGAAACCCATGAACTATAAGTTCGTAATTGGCACTCAGATTAAAATAATATTGCCAATAAACAGGTATAAATTCTAGCCTGAAATAAAAACTAAACCTGAGACAGAGGTCAAGTACTGTAAGGCGATACAAGATAGACGGAATGGAGAAAGAAAAATATATTACATCGGAAAACGAGGATGCTTAGAGACGCGTAAAAACTTGATAGATTTAGTAGCGAGAAAGCAGTTAAGTCATTTGCAGATGTGATCAACGGCTTGGCGCCATACTGACCGGCGCTGAGGCTCAAATAACTCGGCCAATCACTGTCGGCTTTACACCCACGCAGTGTTACAAAAATAAAATCGTTGAAAGTGTTATTTCATGCGCATCCGTCTACGATGTTTCGATAATGTTCTTGACGTGTTACGGGATCAATGTGAGTCTAATTAACACTGACAATAAAGAAGATAAAGGAACGTTGGTCAGATGACCATCTGAGAGAAAGAAACAGAATAGGATAAAAGGAACTCCTATAGATAGGAATCGAGATATATCAACAAATGGATATGCTTCTGGCTGAATATTTGACGTAATCTAATTGTTCTTAACAAATCGTGTAATGAAGGTCGCGTTGAACGGCCACACTCATAGTAATGCAGGGGTCCTAAAAAATTCCATCCTTAGACCTACGTTTTTTCTTATCTTCATCGATGACCTTCACAATGTCATCCGTTCCCAACGAGTTATTTATGCTGATGAAAACAACTATTTATTCCTGTGTTAATAGTAAACCCGATAGGTTCGAGAAAGAAAAACTGGCAACTGCTCTCGAAAATGACCACCCATCAGTTGTTAACTGGGGCACGGAATGGCTAGTAAATTTTAAAGCCCTTAAAACAAAATTTCTTTCAATCATCATAGAGAATTATTTTCCTTTCTTCAGCATCGGCGATATTAACTTCAAGGTAAGCAGCTCATTGCGCCTTCTTGGTCTCACGTTTTCCACTGACATGAAGTGGGGTGATTATATTGAGTCAAGTGCTAGACGTGCTATCAAGAAAGTTGGTTCACTGTGTAGTGCCAGACATTTTTTTCGTCAACATATATAACTTGTGTAACAGCAAAATTGTCCAAATCATGTAACAGCAAAATTGTCCAATTGTTAGATTAAGCTCTGAACTGTTTTACCTTAAAAACGATTAAAGATATCTTACTGGAACTTTCCACGGTTTCTGTAACACTACGGGGCTCAACTTTGTGCAATAAGAATGTATAATTACTCTCCAAGCATAACAGAAGAATCGTGATGAAATCGATCATAAACGAAAATGATATGTTCATCACTAATTAATCATAACTAAGGATTGGAATCTCATGAAGAAAATATATATATATATATATATATATATATATATATATATTCTAGGATCATTTTCCAACGTATTCAAGATGATCTTCGCCCTCTCTAACATTCTAACTTTCTGTCTTGGTGTAACCTGTCTCGTAGGTTTCACATACGACTTCATTTTCAAGTCATTTTTACTGCTCTTTGGACTGTCATGGCTGAAACTCCTCCCTCATGTACCAAACGACTTATGGATTGAGTTGAATTGATTTCTTTAGCTTTAAGTTGAAATTATGATTCCTCTTCCTGTTGTGACTTCCTGATCTAGTTTTCCTCTCTACTGTTGTCTCTTTTTAAAACTTATTCACCGTTCTCTTCATGGTTCTTGAATGGACTTTGAAAATGGAAGCCAGAATATGAATGTTGGCACCACATCTGTGAAGGCTTGAATGATCTTTTTGCTCTGAACATTGCTCATTTGGGAAGGCAGTGGGACTGACACAAAACGATTTTAATCTGTTCTTTTCAAACGTATCTTCAGTGATTCTTAAGACAAATGGGGTCAAGATGTCTAAACGTCTTACCTGAAAACATAGAAAAAGAAACTCAATTAGTTTAGTGCTTTTTTAGATGTTAAACATTTTGTGAGATGGACAATTATGCTGTTACACGATTTGGACAGTTTTGCTACTACACCCGGTATAAATATGTGTCCTTTTCGTTTCATTTTCTCTAAAACTTTGTCATTGGTCACATGTTCAATTCATGGTATTCCAATTATCTTCTATCTAATTTTCCAAGCCCTCTTTCCTCATTATTTGCCCTAAAAATGTAAAGCATCATATTCTGATGCTAAATATAACATATTTAGTCCATGGTATATCAGCGTCCTTCTGAAAATCCATATTGGTCTTGCTTCAAGTCACTTCATCATTTCTGAGAAAATTGTCCAGCATTTACTGCTATATAGGAGGACTGTCATTACATAACAATCCAATACATTATCCTTCTTTTTTTTTCTTTTTTTTTTTAACGAAATTTTTCTGTTTCTTAATACTTTGGTTAGATTTTAGGAGACATGTTTCACTATCCCAATTCGCCGTCAGAATTCAATTTCACACTTTCTGTTAAAACACTTCTTAGATATTTAAATTTCTGTACTTCGATTTCGGTATCTTCAATTTGTAATTTCGTCTTTAGGCTAAAATTCGTGAGAGCTTCTGGCAGGACATTGCCAACCACGTCTTTCTTATTTTCTTCCTTCTCTCTGCTTTTTCTCTTACTCTCTTTTCAACGTCTTTCTCAGCGTCTTTCTTCCGTTTCTTTCGATCTTTATTCCTTTTTGCTTTCTCTTTGCCGGCCAAACCTTTCTTACTTTCTCTCCTCTTCTCTCTATCTTTTCTTTTTCTCTCTTTGACTACCACGTCTTACTTTCTTTCCTGCTATTTTCTCCTTCTTTCTCCCCACCCCCTCCCTTGCTTTATTTGTCCACTGGAGCTTTCTATCTTCTTTTCGCTACATTTCTCTTTCTCTCTTTATTTACATTTTTGTCCTTCTCTCTCCTTCTTTTACTCTTCTCTTATCACGCCTTTCTCTCTTCCTCTCTCTCTCTCTCTCTCTCTCCTTGACTACTGCGTCTTTCTAACTTCTTCATCTTCCCCCTCCTCCTCTACACTCTCTTTCTTCTTTTGCAAACCATGCCTTTCTTACCTTTCGACCTTTCCTCTTTCTTTCTTTGACTTCTACAATTTCCTTTCTCTGTTTTGCATTTTCCCACTTTATCGCTTTCACACATATATATATATATATATATATATATATATATATATATATATATATGACACGCTTTTATTTTACTTTCTATAATCCAACCGGCTATGCCTAAAAGCTCTGGGGATTAAGTCTTTGATTCATCAAACAGTAACCATATTCAATAAAAATCTCAGGCGATTAATCCTAGTCGGTTCTATTGAAAACAGACATGCCTGACGTTTCAATTAATGTCATGTCAAACTGTTCAAAGTTTTCGGGGGCTTAATAATACAACAGAAACTGGGCAGTTAGCTTTTAACACGAGCTGGAGCGGCTCAATCCTTGCTTTCCGACCTTGACAGAGTTAAGGAAAATGTCTACGTGGCCTTGTGGGTAATGAATTATTTTCTAACCTACAACCCCTTTTCCACATGTCAAATGTCAAAAGCCTCTCGTTACTCTATCACTATTTTCCCTGGCAAAACTCAGTGACCCTAGCTGTAAAGGTCTAAACTTGAATTGGTAGAGAGAGAGAGATAAATATTTACAGAGAGAGAAAGAGACAGAAAGGTAGAAGGAAGTATTCAGATAGATATAGAGAGGGAGGGGTAAAGAGATAAATATTCCGATAGAGCATGATAAATATTTCCATAGATAGAGAGATAAATATTCAGAGAGAGAGAGAGAGAAATATATTCAGATATAGAGAGAAATATTCAGATAGATAAAAAGAGAGAGAGAGAAAAAAAATATTCAGATAAAGAGAGAGAAATATTCGTATATATATATATATATATATATATATATTCAGATATATAGATACAGAAACAAATATTCAGATATGTATATAGAGATAAATATTTTGAGAGAGGGCAGAGAGATAATATTACGTGCTAATACCCTTGGGAAAGGTGTGAATCCTCTTCTTCTCCCTCCAGCTATGGGTAAATAGCAGGACAGACTGGGTTCTATAGCCTTGGATGGCAACTGGTCTCGGAGAAGGACAACTCTGAATTCAAAACCTGCGGAGGGTCGTTTGGGGACCTTGTAGCACGTAGTGCACCAGGTCTCTGTATTCGTCCCTTCAAAAAGTGTGGATGGTCCTGCACGAAACCTTCACCACTATAATCAAAATTTCATGTGCTATTGTCGGGCTGTCGGTTTCCTAGGAACCGATCTGCTTGACCCTCATACGTCGAATTCGATGGGAGAGTCGAGAGTATATTATTTTTAAATAAAATTTTAAATCCAACATTATTATATATTACTATGAACGTTATTTTTGTAGCTATAAGTGTTTTGGTTAATATCCTTGATTTTGTTCGTTTTTGTTTTTTTGTTTTTGTTTTATTTTTTGTTTTGTTTTTTGGGGTTTTTTTTTTTTGGTTTTTTGTTTCTTTTTTGGTTTTTTGTTGGTTTTTGTTTGTTTCTTTTTTGTTTCTTTTTTGTTTTTTGGGGGGTTTTGTTTCTTTTTTTCTTTTCTTTTTTCTTTTGAAACTGTGAAATTAATTAACGAATTAATTATTTAATTATTGAAATTAAGTAAATAAAGCGTCGCCTATAAGCATGATTTCCCGGGTGGAGAAAAAAGGATGCATGTTCGATTACTGCTGGCAAGCACGACTTTTCTTTTGTTGAACTTGTTGATCTCGGTTATTAATTTCATTGTCTATAAAAATAAAAAACAGGAATAGCAATGCAAATATGTTTATCCACTTACGATAACTTTTGTGGTAATAGGAAATAGTAATTTCTTTTCAAAAATCCATTTAAAAATTACGATTTTTGCGTTTCATATAGGAAAATAAAGCTAGTATATATAGATTCGTAGACCTATCAACGAGAGATGTGTATTCATTCAGTCAGTTTTGTGCCATGCGTGATACACGCTTAGACGATCATGAATCTGTCGATACATGACTGACGCGGCAGATTTTTTCCGCAGTAGGTTGCCATTTCTTTCTGCAGTTACTATCCAAGACTATAGAACCCGGTCTGTCCTGCTATTTACCCATAGCTGAGAAATTTTAGTGCCATGCGTGATATACGCTTAGGCGATCATGTATCTTTCGATATATCACTGACAAGGCAGATTTTTTCCTGCAGTAGGTTGACATTTCTTTCTGCGGTAGACCAGTTGCTATCCAAGGCTATAGAACTCGGTTTGTCCTGCTATTTACCTATATCTGGGGGAGGGGAAGAGGATTAATACCTTTCCCAAGGGTATTAGCTCGTAAGTGAATGTAATGGATTCAACTGGAATTTGAACTCGGCTCTCTGATTCCTCAATCCGAGCCGCTATCCATTACTCCACCGTGGGAACGGTATGAATCCTCTTCTTCTCCCCCCAGCTATGGGTAAATAGTAGGATAGACCGGGTTCTATAGCCTTGGTTAGCAACTGGTCTACCGCAGAAAGAAATGGCAACCTACTGCGGGAAAAAATATCTTCAGGTGAACCGGGGTAAATAATTTCCTAACGTTTTATTTAAAAATAAATAAATAAACGCACAATGCGAAGCAGAAGGGGAGGAGAAAAGCAATTGTATTGAAATTACATCGAAGTGGGGTTGTATTAAATGTATATGCTTTTATCCTGGTTCAAATGTAACTCCTGTTGAGTCCTTAAAACCAGGGTAGCGTAATTGACTGATCTAACTTTTTCAAATTTTCAAGATTTGCATGTTAAATTTTTATTTTATTTTCTTTATATGTGTATTGAGCACTTTTTAATACTACTGTTTCCTGGTCTAATTCAACCTTGGTCAGTGAGTTATATAATATATATAAGTTTAAAAAGAGGGATCAGTTGAGAGGAAAACTGAATCAGAAAGAGAAAAGGTTAAAATCATTTTGTGTCCGCCCCACTGTCTTCCCAAATGAGCAATTGTGAGAGGAAAAAGATCATTCAAGCCTTCAGTAATGGTACCAGCATTCATACTCTAGCTTCTATTTTAAAAGTCTATTCAAGAACTATCAAGAGAATAGTGAATAAGTTTTAAAAAGAAGTGTACAGAGGAAAACTGGATCAGGAGGTCTCAACAGGAAGAGGGGTCATCATTTCAACTTAGAGCTAAAGATTTCAATTAGAAAAGATCCAACGCAATCCATAGACGTTTAGCACGCGAGAGAGGAGTTTCAGCTATGACAGTCCAAAGAGCAGTGAACAAAAACTTGAAAATAAAATCGTACGTTAAACCTGTGAGGCACCTTGTTACTCCAAGTCAGAAGGTTAGATAGGGCGGTGATCAGTTTGAATAAGTTGGAAAATGATGATATTATAATAATAATAATAATAATAATAATATGTGTGTGTATGCGAGTGTGTGTATGTGCAACAAAAAACATGATTCATACTTTTAAGAACTCATTTCTTTCACTGAACTAAGATGTCATATAACGTGATGTGTTTTTTTCCCTTCTGCCACCGCCTACGCAGGGACTATGCTGACTTCCGTTCTGCAGGTGGCAACTTTACGCACACGGCGGTTAATTGGACGTGTAATTCTTTTTAGACTTCTTTTTTTTTTTTTTAATCCGCACAGTCAGCCACTCAGTTCCGATTTTCTGTCTTACACGCTGAAAAATTATTTAAAGCAACAAATAATAAATGACTGCATAGAGAATAAGAATAAAAGCAAACAAACTTTAGCTGAAATGGCCCGTCAGTTGTCCGCCGGAAATGCATTTGTCTTTTTCCTATCCACTTCCGCCCACGCAGTAACAGCTGACCGAGCATAACTGGTCGAACGTTTCGTGCCGACTAGCTAATTCCAATTCCTCTGGGTTTCTCTCAAGATACCAGCAAGGTCACTCATCTTCACCTGGTATACTGTTTTCCTAAAACCAAGCACTACAGGCCATATCGCGTTGAGACATCAGTTTTCGTCCGATCACCGAAATTAAGTAACACCGAGACTTATCAGGACCAAGACAGGTGACTGCTTGTGAAGACCAAGCGCTGTACGCTTGGGTGTGCGGGTGGTGTAATGGATAACGGATCGGAATAAGAAATCAAAGAGAGCCAAGTTCGAATTGCAGTCAGATTCGTTACATTCACTTAGGCGCAAATATTGTTGGGAAAGGTATGAATCCACCTCTTTACCACCAGCTATGGGTTAAATAGTAGTCGTTGTATCTGAAAAAAACATTATTTACAAAAATTATTGATACAATCTTCACTCGCGAAACGAAAAGAATTATTCTTACAACCCAAAAATGTTTCAGCATAAATAATCTAAAAAAGGTTGATAAACCGTAAAAAAATATAAACAAATATTTCAATCTTAAAACAAAGTCCACTTTTTTTCCCTATGCACTACATCGCCTAGAGACTGAACTCATAATTGCAATATCACTAAATTCGTAAAACAACATTTTAACGAACTAGTATATTATTCCGTATGATAAACTCGAATTTAGAACTTGGAGTCTTAAACCAAGTATTCTTCTATTCTGACAGTTGCTGATTCTACTCCTGCTATTGCTGATATCGTTGTTATTCTTGACTGCATTTACTGCAGCTTCGCTTTTCTTACTGCTGCTACTGCAATTGAATCTTTGTTGTCTTTTCTCTTTATTTATTAATGGCTCCCATATGGTAATTATTTCTATACTAGTTCTGAGGAGGCCTTCTTAATCTAGAATACGTGCCGGTTCCTTCAAACATCTAACTCTCTACTGTTCTTCTGTCTAGTAGTTTTACTTCATTTCACGAGTGGGGAGCAATCCTTTTCCCTATATAAAGAGTGTTCCAATAACTTAGACTGATTTTAATTGTGAATTAAGTTTAAGCGTCTAATGATTATTTTTATTTCAGATTTGGCGGACATTTGGGCAATATTATTTTTCACACACAATTGCTATAACTTAAATAACATGATCCAATAGAGAAATAAATAAGTTTTCGCCAATAACACTGATTTATTTACGGATGACTTTGATCCGTCTTAATGAAACACCCTATATAGAGTCAGCCATTCTTGATTAAATTACTTCGTTCCTAATTGCGGCTTTTCGATGTTCCTACAGCCTTACTTTTAGAGGTGGTTTTTTTTTCACCTTTGTATTCTTTGCTTCAATTTCAAAGGATGGATTACACACATTTCTTGATCGTGTTTTCCACTGTGTCGGGCTTGACTCGGCAGAGGTTCATCGTAAGGTCGAGCTGCTTCTGAACATTGCTCTGATGTTCTATGGGTCACAGATCTTCTGAATCCTTTTCAACAAGCCCTTGGTGTAAGGGAGACAGAACGTGGCAGTTTTCCGATACTGCTACTCATTGAGCCTTCTGTTTCTGTCTGCAGAAACTTATGTTATGTTTGCAGGACAGTAGTTAAAGAGTAGTTCGATGCTGATCATTTCTTGTTGGTATGTGTTTGTTGCCAGCATCGGACGATACCTTTCTTTACGTTATATGGATGGTGGTAATTGAATTTATGTTATTTTCCGGTGAAGGTTGGCTTAATATAAACGGATGTCTTGAATCTATTCTCTGTGCAAGTTATTAGTACATTCAGGAAAGACAGCTGACTTTTTCTCCTATTGTGAATTGGATCGATGGTTTTACTGAATTCATTTACTATATTTGTACAACTTAAGGCGATTTCAGATTGCTAAGGTGTCATCTACTTATTTTTAGTGATGCTGTTCCTAAAGCTATTTTCTCAAATTATTCAATGTATATGTTCGCCATTACTGGTAGCAACGGCGAACCCATAGCCAAGCCTTTTTCCTGCTCGAATAGGTCAGATCCTAGTTGGAAAAATGTTTCCATGCGCAGAATGCCAATGTTTCCATCAGGTTATCTATCGGAATCAGGAGAAGAGTCCGATTCCAATCGGTTTCGAACCACTGATAGAGCCTCGTCTGTAGAAATCCTAGCAAACAGACACACTACATCCAAACACGACATCAGATTGTTATGGATATGATTGATTGATTGATTGATGTGTTCTGAGTTCTTAATATATGTCGAAGATATTGCAGACCGTCTGGAGGGGAGCTCGAATATAATATAGGATGTGGCCTGTGTGCCCAAATAAAGAAGAGTCACATAAGGCCCACAAACATTTAAAAATAAGACATGAATCTGACAGTCCAACAAGAGGACAACAAAAACGACAAACTTAAATTAATACAAAATGTATTTACATAATATACAAAAGTAATGTTTCGATTGAACAAACAATGAATGGAGGAATACTGACCGAATAGAAGATCAAAGATATTATAACCATAACTAAATGTTAAAAGTAAAGTCCAGGTAAGTTAGGTGTGGCAGAAAACCTAAAGTTTGAAAGTTCAGTTTAAATGTCCGATGCTGGCGTTGAGTAGTGGCTGATTAAGTCATACAATGAACCTTCCGTAGTATTTAACCCAAATCTACGAAATAGATTGTTTGAAGTCTGGACGATATAGCAGAAGAGGAATAAAGTTCAGTTTAAATATCTGGTGCTGGCGTTGAATAGTTGTTGGTTAAGTCAAACGATGAACCTCTCGTAGTATTTAACCGATATCTACGAAATAGGTTGTTTAAATGTCCGGTGCTGGCATTGAATAGTTGTTGGAATTTGATAGTTGAACATAGGCCGAAATAACTGTACTGTACGGTGCAGGCGTTGTAATGGTCCAAGGGAATTAGGTTGAAAAGAAACACCGGAAGTTAAGAGGCTGTGGTAGCCGGAAGTAATAAAGGCCAGGAATGCTGGAAGTACGAGTATACAGGAAAGTTTCTAATTAGGGTGCTGTTGGCAGACAAAAATAAATGGACCGTAACTCGTCTACAGTCGCTCTCTCACAGACGTCGCCTCCCTCTATCTTTTCTACAAATACTTTCACGGTAACTGCTCCGACGATTAACTTACACTAGTTCCCAGACTACATGAATTTAAACTCGATCCCACTCTTTTACTGTCGAAAGAGTTAAATGTAGCCGTCTCTTCTACTCCAAAAGCTTTATGCCTCGCACCCCAAGTCTGCAGAACTTCTATTATTTCCTATTAGTTGTTTCCCTGATAGCTATAATCTATAATTATTGAAATGTAATGTCAATCGACATCTCCAGATGACTTGATCTATTTGCTGTCCTTCTTGCCCCCACTCTCTGTAACTCCTTGCGTGCTAGTGGAATCCTGCCTTGCTTGGGGGTGAAATGCTTAAAAAAAAAACTTAATACAGAACTCGTTCAAGCGCTTTGATCACAAAGAACAGGGGCCCGCGTTTTTCTTCCTCCCTCTCTCTCTCTCTTCCTCCTCCAGATCGGCGAAAAATCGCTGAGTTATATGACAAGGGTGTCTCATAGCATCACCTGGGCTTGCTGCGTACTTAATATCTAAAAGAAATAAATACCGAGTTGCTAATGAAATATAAAAAGTGTTATAGAATGTTCAGGAGGAATATTTAGATTGTGTTAATAATAATCAAACAACAAAGAGAAATGTGTTTGATTATGAAATCTAAATAAGCCTGCCATGTTGCATAGAAGAAAGTGGGGTGAGGCAACGAAGAAAAGGCAAAGGTCCCAAAGTAATAACTCATCCGCCATGAAAATGAACGGGAGTAGCGAGGGCGCTACGATACAGACTTCCATATTACTGGGTTGACTATAATCTTCCAGAAATTTGCCCAGCAAATAACATGTCGAGCCTCTATAGCTGATTGTTTCAACAGAATACCAACTTTGTGTATCATGTGTAAACTGTACTTATCTGGAAGGTTCATGTAACAAAAATTATAATCTTACGTCGAACAGTAATTGTCAGTATGAAGGTATTTACGCAAAGATCAGCTTTGTATACTTAGTCAGTGTGGAGTAGTCTTTGTTTTATATCGTTTTATTCTTGTTTAATTTAAGATATGTGATAGATTCCTCGATTTTTAGAGTCCGTTCCTTTTTCTCCCTGCTCTAGCTAGCATCCCCAAATGGGCTTGCCAGTTCCACCTGGTGGAGGACAGAATTGTCGAAACTTTGAGATAATAACAAAAAAAATATGGACAACAGCTCGAATATAAACACATACAAATACGAGAGGGTACTGAAAAGTTCATAAGTTGTATATAAAGGAGTGACGCTAAAGCTGTGAAATCTTGCTTGCATTAGTTTAAACACTTCTTATTAATAAGCTGACTGTTTCTTTCCAGGTAAACTGACGCCTGACAATTCAAAGAAGGCTTCAAATCTAACTAGTAACGACTTCTCTTGTAATCGGACAAAAATACCTACAGAAAAATGGTTTAGCCCCTCAGGAACATTCATGCTGACATGGTTCTTACATTAAGGGATTGCGTTCCAGTTTTATCAACAGTGCAAAATTGGGCGTCTGAATTTAGGGGGGCATGGGAGATTTTTTCTTCTCAAGTCCTGTAGCTGTTATCGCTCTTTCAAGTATTGATGGGGAGTTTCCTTCCTAACCTTTTCTCTGAAGTAGTGTGGAACGTCAACATCTTAATTATGTCATTATTTCCTCTTCTCAAGTCCAGTAGCTGTTATCGCTCTTTCCATTATTGATGGGGAGTTTCCTTCCTAACCTTTTCTTTGAAGTAGTGTGAAACGTCATCATCATTATGTCATTATTTTCTATTCGAGTTACATGTGCCATCCAGATCACCCAAGAACTGGACGTCCAGTCATGGGGTGTTTTGTAGGTCCCCTTTGAATATGCGGTATCGTAGTATATGCAGGATTGAGAGGTGATGAATGTGTTATTGTGATGAACGTGTAAATTGTAATGTATGAATGGGTGGTGAATCTGACTAGGATAGCTAATAAGGACCAACCGTCTCTCAAAATTCTACCCAGGCCTTGTGCACAGTTTTGTATGTTTCAGAATAAATATTAAGATGTAGACGTCCAGTAACTGCCAACATCGAGGAAAAAATTTTCACCACATAATGTTGGATGACAGGCGATTGACTATAATAGAAATAGCCAATGCTATTAGCATATACCGTGAGAAAATTGACAACATTTTGCACAATGAACTTGGCATGAAGGTTTCTGCCAAAGTGAATGGTGCCACGTTTTCTGAAACCTGATCAAAAGCGCAGTAGACTGATCGAATCGAGGGAAAATCTTACATTGAGGTAGATGCAGCTGGTTTTCTTGAAACATCGACACTTTTTGGTTTCGTTTTGGTAGGCTTTGTGAGCATCTACAATTAAATCTGTTGTAACTATGAAAAGAATATGAATTATGTTTCCACCCATTCTCGAACAAGAACTCAAAAGGGAAGAGACTAAGCTAATGACAATATTTGTAACACCGAGACCTTCAAGTTCGTTTCGCTAGGCTTTGTGTGCTTCTCTGATTTAATCTGTTGTAATTATGAGAGAACGTGAATTATGTTCACACCGATTCTCTAACGAGAATTCAAAAGGAAAGAGACTAAGATGATAACTATATTTAAAATATGACGACTTTGTATTCAGCAGGCTTTCTGTGCTTATGCTATTAAATCTGTTGTAATTATGAGAGAATATGAATTATGTTTACATCGATCCTCGACCGAGATTTCAAACGAGAAGAGACTAAGCAGATGTTAATATTTGAAACATCGAGACTTTTGTGCTCGTTTCGACAGGCTTCTCAAATTAAATCTGTTGTAATTATGATAAAACATGAATAATGTTCACACCAGTTCTCCAACGAGAATTCAAAAGGAAAGAGACTATATTTGAAACATGGCGACTTTGTGTTCATTTCGACAGGCTTTCTATGCTTATGCTATTAAATCTGTTGTAATTATGAGAGAATATGAATTGTGTTCTCATCGGTTCTATAACGAGAATTCAAAAAGGAAGAGACGAAGTTGATGATTATATTTGAAACATCAAGTCTTTTGTTCTCGTTTTTCTAGGCTTTGTGTTGGACGAGAATTCAAGGGAGAGATATGAAAAATTTGAAAAACCTGGATTATCGCGCTTCGTGAACAAAAAAGTGAATTTTAAATTAAACAAAATATCCCGTGCACTCGTGTGCCACCAAAATCTTCGTGATCATAATCTTCACCAGGAAAATACCAGTTTCATAAAATTTGAATATAATTTACTTTATAATTTAATAACATTTGCCGGCTCCATTTAAGAAAGATTCGACGTTTACCGTCCGAGCAGCCAGTGCTGCTTGAGCTACACATTTCTTCACTCCCGAGTCATCAGGCTGGGATCAAAGTGTAGTATCTCTTCTCATCTTTAATGGTCATTTTTAGTGCATAGGTTAAATGTGGCACAATGCCTAAAGTATGGGGTATCCAGTGTGGATCGAACTCACTACTAAGTCGTAATTGTGCTCGCGAGACAAATTTGCTATTACATCACCTCGAGGTACCCCTCCTCGAATCTCTAATGGTAGTAGTAACATTCACCGTTTCTTAATAAGGAAAAAATCATCATTCATTTACCGAGCAGCTAGGGCTACTTTCGTTTGAAATGTATAAAAAAAATCTCTTAGGACAACTTTTCAGGAAAATAGGTTTCTCGGCGCAACTAACTCTTTCCGGTATTGTAGGGTTTTCCTTCCTAACCTTTTGTTTGAAGTAGTGTGGAATGTCAACATTTTATGTCTTATTTTATCTTTGAGTTACATTTGCTATCGATTTGTGGTGTTACTGCTGCTGGAAGTTCTTGCTTGTCGATCTTTAAAAAACATTCAATAGTTGTCGATCCTTTATAAAGACACATTCGCCATTCATTGACCGAGCAGCTGCTTTCGTTTGAAATTCATAAGTCATTCCCTGAAAACAATTTTTTCACAACAATAGGTTTTTCAAGTCCAGTAACTTTTACTGTTTTTTTCTACTATTGATGGAAGTTTCCTTACTAACCTTTTCTTTGAAGTAGTGTGGAACATCAACATCTTGATTATGTGATTATTTTCTCTTCTCAAGTCCAGTAGCTGTTATCGCTCTTTCCAGTATTGATGGGAGTTTCCTTCCTAACCTTTTCTTTGAAGTAGTTTGGAACATTAACATCGTCATTTTGTCATTATTTTCTTTTCGAGTTACATGTGCCATCCATTTTAGTTGTTGCTACTATTGAAATCCTCGAGAGTTGCGGTTTCTGTTATTCAGTACAGATCTTTGTTTTTGATTGTGTAGCGCCAGTCTACAATGTTCCAAGGAGTATGGTCCTCTCTAAAACCTACAGGCTACATTCGCTCGGAGCTATTTTTAACCATTGATCCGACAAAGCGGTTGTCTGCAGCCGACAGTTTAGATATTCTTCAAAGGGTCTGGCGCTATTCATGGCATCCCTGTGAATTTTTCTCGATCTGAACAAGTCCTTAAAAACATCATTCTAATTTTTAAGTAAATGTTTTTAGTTTGCAGCAATTTCCAGTGTTGGCCGAAATAACTATTCGTACATTCTATTCTATGTTCAAATTCCTCATCTCTTATATTAAATTTGTTATAACTTATCAATATACTTGAAGTGTTTACTTATCCATATACTTGAAGTGTTTATTTATTCATATACTTGAAGTGTTTACTCATCCGTATACTCGAAGTATTTACTCATCCATATACTCGAATATTTGCGTATCCATATACTCGAAGTATTTACTTATCATTATATTTGAAGTTTTTACTCATCCATATACTCGAAGTATTTACTTATCTATATACTTGAAGTGTTTACGTATCCAAATACTTGAAGTGTTTACGTATCCATTTACTTGAAGTGTTTGCTTATCATTATACTTGAAGTGTTTGCTTATCATTATACTTGAAGTGTTTGCTTAACATTATACTTGAAGTGTTTGCTTAACATTATACTTGAAGTGTTTGCTTATCATTATACTTGAAGTGTTTGCTTAACATTATACTTGAAGTGTTTACGGTTTACTAGTTCCACATCCTGAAATTTTATAACGGATTCAGAGTAGGAACTATCATTGTTTCCATTCCAATTCTAGAATGTAGTTTCTGTTTTGGAAAGGCGCAATAAATGTACTATTATCTACAAGTCGCCTACAGTTAATATACGTACAACCAGGTTAGTTTAGTTTATATCCTGTTCTTTCTAAATTAGTAGTGTGGCGCGTTGGAGTAATGAATAGCGGCTTGGATTGAGAAATCGAAGAGCCGAGTTCGAATTACATTCGAATCCATTATATTCACTTACGTGCTAATAACCTTGGGAACGGTATGAATCCTCTTCTTCTGGGTAAATAGCAGGACAGACCGCGTTCTATACCCTTTGATAGCAACTGGTCTACAGCAGAAAGAAAAAAGAATCTGCATCGTCAGTCATATATAGAAAGATATATGATCGTGTATGCGTGTATCACGCATGGCACATAAC